AGAAAGCTTGAGCATAGATTAACATGAATTGCATTTTCAATACAATTGAACCAGGTCTAGAGTAATCCATACAACATGACAAAAGCATATTTGAATACAAGTTAACAAGAATCACATTATCCATGCAATTCAACAATAAAAGAGCATGTTATACAATGCAACAAGGTTTAAGTTCTCAAAGCCATCAACTTAGAATCTAAAGCACAAAATAACAGTAGTGGTTCATGTCACCTAACGTCTATATTATAAATGAATCAATAGGATCAATACTAAGCTTTATTAGAACGTCAAAACACGATTTTCAATATCGATGCAATTTAACCAACATTGGAACTTCCAATACAACGCATAAAGCACAATTTGGCAAAGTTAACATCCTGTAACTTAAAATGGAACGACAAATAAGAAACAACAAGTTACAATATCATCTAGTTATCAACTTTAAAATGAAATGCGAAATCAAATAAAGTGGATACTCGGACGTCACGCCGGATCAGACCGACAACATAGTTACTTTAGGGTTACTAGCCCATGGGTAACCTCTCTATGTGCGCACTAGACTATATATAGAGGGACTATCCCCCGTACTAGAATCACGTCCTAGCCATAGTCAAACAACGACATCCCCAAGTTTCTAAAATCAACAAGTTGTGCAACAACGCATATATCAACAAGAATATACAAGATAATCAACTATCTACTAAGCACAACTAAATTTGGAAACCTATACAATACATGCTCTAAATCCACAACTAATATGATATGATGAATGTCGAATCTTCAGTGTGTGATTCGTTACACGCTATGCATGAAAGATGTTAAATACGAAGTGTGCAAATCATTACACAAGGCAACAATATATTCAATAAGGAAAACATATTCTCATGAATACAAACATAGCAATTATGTTATCAAATGTTCAAAACATAACCAAATGAATATACAACAAGTCCAAGTCCATGATTTTGATATAGAAACGACTTTCAAACACAATTAAATCCATGACTCAATTCGATAGAATTTAATTAAATAAAAATAATTAAATTCCCTAAATTCTAATTCAATTCCAAATAACTTCAAATTAATACATATTAAAGAACATAGCATGGTCATTACCTATATCCATTCTAAAACTCAATTAGGTTATTGGAACAACAAAGTAGAACTCTAATTAAATCATGCTAATTTAATTACCAAGGTTCTAAAGTAACTTCAAATGGTCCACAATTAATATATACTAGTAAACAAGTCATGGCCAATACAAACATCAAGTTAAAACCTTAATTAAGCTAATGGGACCACAAAATAGATTTTAATTAATTCTTTTAATTAAAATCTCTAGATTTTCAAACTTAACCAAATGCTCTCAAATTAACCTATGTTGGAAAGTATGCCAAGAACTAATATAATATCACATTACAAGTTTATTTCATTCAATTTAAGACCATGTGAATTAAACTTTCACTAAAGTTAAATATAAATTAAAAGTTGTAATTCTCATGCAATTAATCCCAATTTAATATATGTGAACAACTATACCTAGGCTTAATTTTCTAACATGCCACAATTCAATTCCAAGTTGTATATCACCATGAGGATTAAATCTTAAACAAGGAAATTAATTAAATGAAAGGTTTCAAAACCTCACCGAATATTCTAAATCAAATATATGTGAAGCTATATGGCATGTAGATCAAGAATATCAAGTCGGAATTCAAATGGAGTGAATAGTGCACTCGGAGTAAATTAATTAATCAAATTAATTAATAATTACTAATTTTCAAAACACCTCCAATTACTTTCAAATTCAACTATGTTGAAGAGCATGCTAAGGCCTAATATAATATGCTAACACATATTAATTTCAAGCTAGTTAAGGCCATGTGAATTAATCTTTCACATAAGATAAATATTAAATAAAATCTTTAATACTTATTCAAATGTTCCAATTTTAATACACGACAATGAGCATATCAAGGGGCAATATAAAATCATGCTACATGTTTAAACCAAGTCATGAGCAACCGGAAAAATTAGATCCCGTACAAGAAAAATAAATAATAAAATCTCTATATTTTATATTTAATCATGCAAACAAGTAGTATAAACATCACAAGCATGCTATATAATAAGAATTTAAACCTAAAACATCCCCCACCTCAATTTGAGATGAAAATCCCAAAGGCCCACCAAAATAAAAGTGCTCCGAATTCGACGATACCGAGAGGTTTTGTCGGGGACAACACCGTGAACATAACCTCCATCAAAGTCCCATCAAAATCATAACTTGACCTCAAAACCAAACTCAAGAAATGGTCAAAACTGAATTCTAATAAGGGGGAAAGGTAGAGCATGGCGAGGGGAACAACAAACGTTAAGGCCGAAGACTTTCCATCAAGGAAAAGTGAACCAAAAGAGGAGAGAGAAGGTGGCAGCACCCCTTGGGCTGCCATGGGAGCTCCAGGTCGTGCATGAAGAGGGGAAAAGATGAAAAATGAATTATCTCACCCCCCTTTTATAGAAATCTCAAAAAGTGCCCCGAACGGGCCCCGCCGGGTCCGAAAAAGTAAAATTTGAGCAGACGCGCTCAAATGGAAAAACTTTGTGAATGAAAAAGATTCAAAATGATAAAATATGAATAATGGAAGAGACAGCGTCAAAAACCGAGTCCCGAGCAGAAAGTTATGCCCAAAACAAGTTTGGCGAAAACCGGGGCCAGAAACCCTGAAACTGGAAAATATCGACCAGGAGGAAATTTCAAGAGTACATAACTCGACAAAATGTGAAAATGAATCCCGTACGAGGATCCAGGTTCAAAACAAGACATTTTGCAATAACTTTCATTAATTGCACAATGGCCCCTCCAAAAAGTTAAAACTGCACTTATGGCCCAGAATGAAAATATCTTCCAAAAATATTTTCTTAAAAACCCCTGAAATAAAATATCTTCAAAAGATATTTACGAAAAACACCTCAAGAAAAGAGAATAATTTCAAAGAACTTTGCGTCCATACCCCTATGGACACCGGGAGCAACCAGAGTACTTTCTTGCAAAAGTAAAAATACGTATTTTGTGGAAACCACTCAAGATGAAGGCACGTGAAGTCAAAAACCAACTCCGAGCATGAGAAGTGAGGTTGTGCCAAAAACTAACAAACCGAGATAAGACAGAATAGGGAAAAGGACGAAATAGCGCATAGTGTCGAAAACGAAAAATGTGAAAATGACTCGGTTCTCAAAGGAAGTTGTCAATCCACGGAAAAGAGTCTCAGGAACCAATTCCGAGCACTCGAGATGACACTAAGCGACACGAAACAGAGCTCAGAAAAGAAAATTAAACGAAAAAAATTCATTCGTAAAATTTCAGGAAAAAAGGAAAGGAAGGCAAATAACCGAGTCGTTACAGTTAGATATAAAAACATAAACTACATTTTCAAATGCCAAATAGAATCCGACGGTTATTACTCAGGTGTGCGTGAATTTTCTTGTACACCAGTGAACAAGAGAACAATTCTGTATATATATGAGGACTGTTCACCTGTTCATTGGTGTGCATGGAATTTATACACGAATTAAATCATCACGGTTAGATATAAAAATATAAACTACGTTTTCAAATGCCAAATAAAATACGACGGTTATTACTTCAGGTGTGCATGAATTTTCTTGTACACCAGGGAGTAAGAGAACAATTCTGTATATATATGAGGACTGTTCACCTGTTCACTGGTGTGCATGGAATTTATACACGAATTAAATCATCACGGTTAAATATAAAAACATAAACTATCTTTTCAAATGCCAAATAGAATACGATGGTTATTACTTCAGGTGTGCATGAATTTTCTTGTACACCAAAGAGCAAAAGAACAATTCTGTATATATATATATATATATGTGCAAAGAATATTGTGAATAGAAACCTAAATAAGATGAATAAAAACCTAAATAAGGTATTGATCACGAGATCAGTGGTCACAGATTCATATAAAATTTATTTTAATATATTTTTGAAAATTTATTTTTTTTACTTTTTTATCCTGATTTATAAATTTGATTTTTTAGTATAAATTTTCCTTGAATCTTTTTTTTTAATAATTGAACTTTAAACTTTTGCATAGAGGATCAGATTCAACCCTGTCCATTGTAGATGTTTTTCCTCTTCCTTTGTTAAGGCATTTGGGTTATACAATGTGATTTGAATTTTGTATATTAAGCTGATAAACTCAAAAGTTATTAGAGTTTTTTATTTTGTTATTTTTTTTTGTAACAAATAAGTTCTATTAATATTCGACAAAAATATGATATAGTTTGTTTAAGATATATACTTATTTGGCATATGGTTTTGAGCACCTCCACTTGCTACTGTCTGTTGCAAGTTTGGTTGAAATACAACTTTCCTTTCAAGTTTGGTGATCAAATCTGCCATAGCATGATGCAGAATTGAGGAAAGTTATATTATTTGAAATTGTTTCAAAGCTTCACACTTAATAATTTTAATTTCGAAAGAGTGACATTTACATAATAACCCATTATATGTGTAAAGAAGGTTGCAATAAGATTAACAGGTCAGTGTTTTCAAGTCCTCAAAGGAAGGCATGAATGTGTGACTGAAAAATATATATACACGTCATCATACATTATACAATTACAATCACAAATTTGCTATCCTGTTGACAAACTTTAATAAGTTTGGGACACTCTGGCTCATATATTGCTTGGACACAACTTTCTTCAGCAAAATTCACCCAACAAGTTTTATTATATATTATTATTATTATTTAAGTTGAACATAAATCGAATTTTTTTTTTAATTCCAATTTAGTTCGGGTTGAATTTGGGGGAAGTGTCGAGCAATTCAAACTCAATGTATAAGTAACCTGCATCAACTAATTCAAATTTCCCATAATATACATAATGTTTGTGAGGTGGATGTGAAGTTCAAAGAGGGGTATACATGAAATACATCTAAAATTTTATATTTATTAATACAAAGCGAATGTTGCAATTTCATATTTGACTCAGCAATTTAAATTTCAAAGAATATAATGGTCCCCTTGGACACATATTTAATAGACATGAAGGGAGATATTCATATATATATATATATATAGATGTGCACACCATTTAATAAGAGCAAAAAGAAAAACAGAAAACAATAGAGACCTCCAGGAAATGTTTTTGGTTGGTTCCATGGCCAGAGAGTTACAATCTCCACAAACAAGCCACATATATATTAATATTCCAGAAATTTCAACGAAATCACTCTGCCATGGCCGACCATCATCTTCTCCATATTCTTCAAATTTTTCTCTGGCTGCTGCTGCTGCTGCTTGTAACACAAACCACTTCCTAGCCTCGTCTTGGTGTTGAAGGACAAAGATTAGAATTCATAGAGTATAATCCATTGGTATCGGCTTTAATTATGATTGTTCTTAAACCTCCAAGAGGTGATACAAGCATTAACCCAAGTCCCAGTATAATGCAGAACTGCATATTCATCAAAATCATTTTAATTAATTCAAGGCAATTGGTAAAAAATATGAGAAATTAACATAAATGTGACAATACACATACCCAGTTTGCAATCCAAGATAAGCTGAATCTCCTTGGTTTCTTGATGGCAAGCCACATGATGCAAGGTAGCTGCAAGAAAGAAAAAAAAAAATTGAAATGAGAGATTAAACTCGAAACCAACAAGAAGAAGAAGAAGCTGGCTTCTTACAAAGTATGTTGTAGGGGCAAATGCAAATCCTCCAAAGAATCCTAGAAGACCTCCGAAGAAAGGGAAGGTAATGGCCACAAACATTGTTAATGCTACAACAAAAGTTACAAAAAATGTCAGCTAGCAAATAACGCCACCTGCGATAATAGGAAAACGCTTCTTCTATATAATGAAATGCTGCACAATCCACTACTTACCCACATATACATTTCGTGTAATAAAGCGAAGCATAAAACTGGGATAGAAATTCAATTTCTTGACCAGCACAGTTTCTATCATGTCGAATACTGGCATGGCATAAATCTGCATAATTAAAGATGACAACGTACCATCAAAAATCATGGAAACAAGAAGTAGCTAGTGTGATATATGAGATGGAAAAAATTAAGAAACAAGATTTGTTGAGTTGGCAGGAACGTACCTGATAGCTTCCAATGACATGAATGACAACAAAGAGGTTAGCCATTGCAATTAGCCATTTAGGGCTCTCTAATAAGAAGAGTATATTTTCATTGACTCCATTACCGAAAATCCAGTACCCGATGAGAGCAACAGGGAAGTAACACAAGGCCACCACAATGTAGGCAACGACGACTCCTCTCCACATGGGTCCCTTGGAAGGCTTCTGAGGCGTGGAAGGGATTGTTGCTTGAATCTCCAATACCACATTGTGCCCAGCATACGCAAATGCCACTGCACCCAATGCACTAAAGAAGTCAAAAACTGTTTCTGCTCTCGTATTTGCTTTATACCCATCAAAAACTGTTTCTGCTCTCGTGTTTGCTTTATACCCATATTGCACATCTTCTTGCACAAGAGACGTAGTCCAAGCAATGGTAGAGTAACTGTAGTAGTATCACAAACAACAATATAACTCCATTTCATATCATCTTTCTAAACCAATTTTATAACATACAAACAAATACTACTACATACATACCTCAATGACATAACTGCTGCAGCCAAAGACACAGCAGAAATGGAGTTGAAGGTGGGAAGATGGGAGAGCACGAAATGGACAGACGCAAAGATCATAATGAAGCTTGTATGCTTGGTATCCTTGGTATCCTTGGTATCCTTGCAAGGCTTATCGGACACTAAATCATGGAATTTCTTGAGGGATTCTCCTCCGATGACCATATACACTATGTCCACGGCCACTTCCACAACCAGCTGTTGAGGCACTACGATCCAGAGACCGAGTTTTTCACCAAATACATGTTGACCTAGCTCATGGTATCTGTCGAAACGCTTCCCTGGTACTACCTCATGCATCTCTACCATTTGCCACAGGGTGTATAATGTCACTATCCATGATATCACCAGTACTGTTACACCAGGACCCCTGAAATTTCATTATTAAATCACGACTCCATTACTTCTAATAGACATTTAACAACTTTGACACAGGTTTTGACCAATAGCGAAACAATGAAGCAGCACATTAAAAGAGCAAACAATCCTTTAATAAAATCATGTAAACACTGTTAATTTTTAGAACAAAGTGAAACCCTTCAAGAAATATTATACTATTCACAAAGCAAGACTCGCAATTGTATTGCTACCCAAAAAAACCCAATATTTTTCAAGTTATAAAATAATATTGAATCAAAATATAATATATATTGTTGTGGAGCTAAGCATACCATCCAAGCTTTGACATAGCAAGAGGAAGGCTGAGTACACCAGCACCAACCATGGCAGTGACATTGTGGAAAGCTGAGTACCACCATTTTGCATTCCTCGACGAAGTGATGGGAAGCCATTGGTCAATTGCCTTCTTCATTGCTTTTAGTTTATCAACCTGTGGTTCAACATTTCTTTCATCAGATTCGGTACAAAAAATATATATATACAATTTTTCAATTAGATAAAAAAAAAAAAAAAAAAAAAAAAAATAGATGCATGAATGAAAACAAAAGAATCAAATAGCATTACTGTATTCTTTCGATTTGTTAGGTATTAAAGTTCTGAACATTTTATTGTAAAACTGACCAGATGATATAGTTTAAAAGTTAGTTGTATAAACATTAAAACATGACTTTGGTTTTTACCCTTAATACCAAATACTGAGCCTTTAAATCAAGTCAATATGTATTTAACGGACCCAAAAAAATAAAAAAAAAAAGCTTTTAAAAATAGAAGTATCATTATAAATTTTTCATACCAAAATTCCATATTTTTGAATCACAATCCGAAGAAATTTAATTTAGTTACTAACACGGTATACAAGTTGGGCTTGGATTACAGAGGAAGATCAATCTGAAAAATATAACCAAGAAATGGTACTTCATTGCTATCCTTGTATTCCACGTCACAAAAACGATCAATTTTTTTTTTTTTTTTTTTTTATTTTATAAAATGATGGGAAGCTTTTGGCCAAATTTCAAACAACTAAGCTCACTTTTCTAGAATTTGGGTTTTATCAACAAATCAACTGGCTGATTCTAATTACACATGAAATGAACTATAATTAGGTATGGTATGATAATTGCAAATAGTCATGACCTTATCAAAAAAAAAAAAAATGTTGGGACGACTTTAGATAAAATTGGCTTTTGTGAAGTGAAAAAAAAAAAAAAAAGAAAAAAAAAAAAGAAAAGAAAAGAAAAAGCCGAATTTTCCAATGAATTGAATTTGGAAGCATCTTAGAAGGGTAGTTGATAAGTACGTTTACTGAAAAGTCAGTAATCCCTGCCCGTGGCCATTGACAAAGAGTACCAAGCATGGACGGAGACAATAGATTCCAAACCTTAAGTTAAGGAGAGAAAAAAATATCCAAAGTTTTTGTCAACCATTCATTTTTATACCAACATTAATTGAATTGTCCAGAGTTGGTCAAACAATACAAATTACTACAATATGATTAGAAGACAGGGTTTGCTTGTTTTGTAAATTGTAATTATTGAAATAGTTTTTCATTCTCAGGAAATTGAAAATATAAAATTATACAAAAAATTCTGTTTGGTTGAATTTTTTAAAAATTATTTTTTAAAAATTCAATTATAAAAGGCCTGTTTTCAAATAACAGTCTTTTATAATTTTTTTAAAACTGTTCTCTATTTTTTGAATTTTTAAGAATTATTTTCAAAATTATAAACCAAGAATATCCCTAGAATTTGCAAGCCAACCCATGTTTTTGTTATTGTAGTAGAGTGTCTCTATGTTAAAAATGAATCAAAGAAATTAGTGGCATTAATTACGGCATGGTCACACTAAGATAGTCGATGAAAACATATACTTCCTCTGTCCTAATTTAAATGTCGTTTTTGAGGAGTAAGAATTTTTAAGAGGACATGTGCGACATGTCTTTTTTTTTGAAAAGTTACTAATATATCTTTCTAAGTTTTAAATATTAAGTTTGAAATTTTAAACTTTAAGAACATATATAGAAAGATGTAAAATATATTTTTTGAAAAAAAAAAAGTGGACAATTATTTTGCAACAGATCAAAAAAAAAACATATGACATTTTTTTTTTTTTTTTGGAAGTGTGAGAATATACCTTTAAAAAAAACACACAAGCACCAAATGTACGAGTACAGTACGTGAGTGGCACCCACGTAAACAGGAATTGGCTATTAGATCCCCGAATGGGGATTGTAGGCTCTAAGTCCAGTGAGTTTTGGACACGTGTCCCAACTACAACTCACTAATTGATGTAGCGGTGAGAACTATTTGTGCGTGTGAGAGAGACAATAAACTTTATGTTCCTGAAACTTTAATTATCATGCAAAATTTCACATTTTGTCAAATAAAATTGACATCCCAATATTCTTTCTTTTTTTACATCATCATATTCTCAACAACCAAATAAACAGGAGAAAATCTATTTAATTAGGAAAGTCACAATGGACATAAACCAAGAAATTAAAATATGAAAAGAAAGAATTAATATAAAAAATTAATTAATTATTATTTGTTCCATATTTCGTTTTTTAGTTTACAAATACATCCGGTAAGACATCATTTGCCTCTCATCTCTTTCTTCTCATCTCTTTCTTCTGCTCAAATATTTAACAAATTCTTATCGTCAAAATTTATAACTTCCGACACGATTAAGACGAAAATAAAAAATATCTTTAAGGATATCGTAGCCATAGCGAATAACATCAATACTATCACAAAAAATGATAAGAAGGTTGCAACTCCAACGAGTGATATCAACAACTCTGTAAGTCCAATTATGAGGAGCATAGCCAAATCACATGTGGTTCATCATATAAACATTACATTCAGTACAAAGAAAAAAATATACAATTTTTCAATACAAGGAAAACATGTATATATACACTAAACACACACACACACACACGTATCAAGTGAAAAAACGCTGTGCATATGTATATATATATATAGAGAGAGAGAGAGGCTTACTTTGCTGTTGGGCACATAGTCGGTTGGAGCTTGAGTTCCCATAAGTGTTGAGTGCAGAGAGAGAAACGAACAGGGGAAGATGAAACAAACAATAGGACAAGAAACGTCAGGTGTTTTTCAACTCCTAACAAATATCGAATAGTCTTCTATGCATTAACCAATGAGCGAAGGCTAACTATCGGAATGGTGAGGAACATGGGAATTAGCACCAGCAAGAGACCAATTACCCCTGTATATATAGAGAGCTACACCTATAGGAGTCTATGATGAATTTTTTTTCTCGGAAGTTAGTCTATGATGAAAATTCCACGAACCCCATACACACTCACAGGGTAGGTTCACGGTGTTTCTTGTCGTACCCTAAAACCATCCTTGATTTGTTTTATTTTAGATCATTTAACCAATTGATCTCATGCCTAAAAGTGTGTGCGTGGACCCACTTTTCTTTTTTAATGGGGTTTGAATAAATATAATATTATGCATATCCGCTTTTCAACATATTTATATGTAAGATATTTTATATAATTAGAAAAACATATTGTCATTAAATTGAATCAACCTAGAAACAGTATCCGAGACACTCGGTTGAAATGGAATTTTTATGTGTGTGACAACTCTACTTTTTTTTAATGAAAAATGATATTTTTGTCTATAACTTCTCACCGATTTCATACCGACTAACTGACGCTAGACACATTTAATCTCTCACTTTATCTCAAATTTTTATCTCATAGTCTCTTTACATCCTTTGCTCTTCAAATTTTTAGCACAAATTTGGAGCCCTAAATATCTCAAACTCTCTTGCGCCTCTGCTCTCTCTCATTCCCTCACAATGCATCCCAATTTTTCGCACACATTGGACCCCCAACTCTTCCGCCTTTGTAGTGTTCTCTATGGTTCACTCTCACACTCCATCCCTAATTTATTTATTTATTTATTATTATTTTTTTTTCAGCATAAATTTGTAACCTAACTTTAATCTCTCACCTTAGGACTGAAAATTCAAGATTTGAAATAACAAGGCTTAAAATTACGATCCTAAAGGAAGAGAAACAAGAGCAGTTTCACATATCATATAAAACAGAACAATATATATATGTATATATATTCAAGAAAACCAAAAAATATTTTACATAAACTGAAATTCAAATCAAATCGAGAGACTATTTTTGTTTGTTGTAATTTAATAATTTTTTTAGTTATTGTGTGGTTGGAGGTGATCTTGTTTGTTTTCATGGAAGTTCAATTATGGAGAAAAAAGATGAAATAAAAAATAAATAAATAAAAGGAGCATATAAGAGTTTTACTATCATTTGACACATATTCAGCCACGTAAGAAGTAGTTAGTAGTAGGTTTTTTTTATAGTCAGGCAAACTACTATCACTCTTTTTAATATAGAATGAAATTAACACGTATATATATCCCAATTCTTAATTGATAGTTTGGGTATTTTAATAAGGACCTATTTATTTTCATTAGTCCATCTATGCAACAAATAAGGAATTGGGACCCTCCACTTATATTGTGTATAAATATTATAATCTTGGTTCGAACCAGTGCTTCAATTTGCATAACAACAGTTTTGGCTTTCACTAGCGCTCAAAAACGCTAGTGAAAGTCTAAAAAAACGCTAGTAAAGACCCTTTACCAACGTTTTTTTCTTGAAAAAAGCCCTGGTAACCCTTTGCCAGCGCTTCTTAAAAGAGCATTGGTAAAGGGTCATTTTATATATGTATATATTTTCCCCCCTATACCAGTGCTTCTTAAAAAAGCGCTGGTAAATGGTCATTTTATAATTTTTTTTTTTCCCCCTATGCCAGCACTTCTTAAAAGAGCACTGGTAAAGGGTCATTTTAAATATATATATATTTTTCCCCCTATGCCTGCGCTTCTTAAAAGAGCGCTAGTAAAGGGTGATTATATATATATATATATATTTCCCCCTTTTATTGTTTTTGGAAAAATACCTTTACGGCGGCTACTAAATGTCATCCAATATAACACAAGTCAATATGAAAATACCATTCAAATTGTCTTTACATAATACAATCACAAGTTAACCTGCTGCCAATATGAAAAATACCATCGAAATTGTCTACTAATAGATAAAGCTGGTAAATGTCAACCAAAACCCAAAAAATGTCAACCAAAAAGTCAAAATGTCTACTAATACAACCACAAGTTAACCTGCCAATATGAAAATACCATCCAAATTGTCTAGATAAAGTTACTAAATCTCACACAAAAAGAATTAAGAATTAAGAATTTTTGACAAATGTAGTACAAGTTTTTCAAAAAGAACCATCCAAGGCGAAGGAAATTCAGAAAGCACAACCACGACCCCATCTTCAGCTTCAACTTCAACAACTCTTCTTGCCCATTTGATTTGAATTACCCTACATTTTTTTATAAATTCATTAAGCGCACATTATAATAAATGAAAATTTAACATATAAGAGGAATTAAAAGTTCATAACCTTAACTGAATTGACATCATGGTTAGAAAATGAATTTAAGGATACTCTAGACATGAAATGAACAAATCAACTAGCTGATTCTAATTACACATGAAATGAACTATAATTAGGTATGGTATGATAATTGCAAATAGTTGTGACCTTATAAAAAATAAAAATAAAAAAGGGATCAAGTTGGGACGACTTTGACTGGAACTTTTTTTTTAATGTAATAATCATTCAAATTAGATTAAATATATAAATATAAAATTGACTTTTGTAAAAAATTAATTTTGTTTTGGTGTGAATGTGTAACGAATTTTCCTATTAATTGAATTTGGAAGCTTCTTAGAAGGATAGTTGATAGGTTCGTTGCCATAGACAGGGTATTAAACATGGACTGAGACAATAGATTCCAAACCTTAAGTTACGGTGAGAAAAAATATCCAAACCTTAAGTTTTTGCCAACCATTCATTTTTATATCAATATTAATTGAATTGCCCAAAGTTGGTCAAACAATACAAATTACTACAATATGGGTTGAAGACGGGTTTGTTTGGTTTGTAAATACAAAAACAGTTTTCTGTTCTCGAAAAATTGAAAACAAAAAACTGTATAAAAAACTTTGTTTGGTTCAATTTTCTGAAAATTCAGTTATAAAAAGACCTATTTTCAGATAACAGTCTTTTTTAATTCTCTGAAAATTATAAACAAAAAACTTGAAACAGAATACTGTACAAAAAACTCTGTTTGGTTCAGTTTTCTGAAAACTCAGTTATAAAAAGACCTATTTTCATAAAATAGTCTTTTATAATTTTCTGAAAACTATTATCTATGCCTAAAAGTGTGTGCGTGGACCCACTTTTCTTTTTTAATGGGGTTTGAATAAATATAATATTATGCATATCCGCTTTTCAACATATTTATATGTAAGATATTTTATATAATTAGAAAAACATATTGTCATTAAATTGAATCAACCTAGAAACAGTATCCGAGACACTCGGTTGAAATGGAATTTTTATGTGTGTGACAACTCTACTTTTTTTTTAATGAAAAATGATATTTTTGTCTATAACTTCTCACCGATTTCATACCGACTAACTGACGCTAGACACATTTAATCTCTCACTCTATCTCAAATTTTTATCTCATAGTCTCTTTACATCCTTTGTTCCTCAACTTTTTAGCACAAATTTGGAGCCCTAAATATCTCAAACTCTCTTGCGCCTCTGCTCTCTCTCGTTCCCTAGCAATGCATCCCAATTTTTCGCACATATTGGACCCCCAACTCTTCCGCCTTTGCAGTGTTCTCTATGATTCACTCTCACACTCCATCCCTAATTTATTTATTTATTTTTTTTTCAGCATAAATTTGTAACCTAACTTTAATCTCTCACCTTAAGACTGAAAATTCAAGATTTGAAATAATAAGGCTTAAAAATTACGATCCTAAAGGAAGAGAAACAAGAGCAGTTTCACATATCATATAAAACAGAACAATAAATATATGTATATATATTCAAGAAAACCAAAAAATATTTTACATAAACTGAAATTCAAATCAAATCGAGAGACTATTTTTGTTTGTTGTAATTTAATAATTTTTTTAGTTACTATGTGGTTGGAGGTGATCTTGTTTGTTTTCATGGAAGTTCAATTATGGAGAAAAAAGATGAAATAAAAAATAAATAAATAAAAGGAGCATATAAGAGTTTTACTATCATTTGACACATATTCAGCCACGTAAGGAGTAGTTAGTAGTAGGTTTTTTTTATAGTCAGGCAAACTACTATCACTCTTTTTAATATAGAATGAAATTAACACGTATATATATCCCAATTCTTAATTGATAGTTTGGGTATTTTAACAAGGACCTATTTATTTTCATTAGTCCATCTATGCAACAAATAAGGAATTGGGACCCTCCACTTATATTGTATATAAATATTATAATCTTGGTTCGAACCAGTGCTTCAATTTGCACAACAACAATTTTGGCTTTCACTAGCGCTAAAAAACGCTGGTGAAAGTCTAAAAAAACGCTGGTAAAGACCCTTTACCAACGTTTTTTCTTGAAAAAGCGCTGGTAACCCTATGCCAGCGCTTCTTAAAAGAGCATTGGTAAAGGGTCATTTTATATATATATATATTTTCCCCCCTATACCAGTGCTCCTTAAAAGAGCGCTGGTAAATGGTCATTTTATAATTTTTTTTTTCCCCCTATGCCAGCGCTTCTTAAAAGAGCACTGGTAAAGGGTCATTTTAAATATATATATATTTTTCCCCCTATGCCTGCGCTTCTTAAAAGAGCGTTAGTAAAGGGTGATTATATATATATATATATATATATATATATATATATATATATATATATATATTTTTCCCCCTTTTATTGTTTTTGGAAAAATACCTTTACGGCGGCTACTAAATGTCATCCAATATAACACAAGTCAATATGAAAATACCATCCAAATTGTCTTTACATAATACAATCACAAGTTAACCTGCTGCCAATATGAAAAATACCATCGAAATTGTCTACTAATAGATAAAGCTGGTAAATGTCAACCAAAACCCAAAAAATGTCAACCAAAAAGTCAAAATGTCTACTAATACAACCACAAGTTAACCTGCCAATATGAAAATACCATCCAAATTGTCTAGATAAAACTACTAAATCTCACACAAAAAGAATTAAGAATTAAGAATTTTTGACAAATGCAGTACAAGTTTTTCAAAAAGAACCATCCAAGGCGAAGGAAATTCAGAAAGCACAGCCACGACCCCATCTTC